GGGAGTCTTAACCCTCAGAGGGTCCTTTCTCGAGTCTGTTTTTGAAAGTATAAGGGGGTTTCGGTTTTGCTGTGTGGGTGTGGGTGTGTGTTTTAAAGTCACCGATAGTCTCATGCGTGCATGTAATGCGCTGTGGTCATTTTCTCCTTCTCTTTCGTCCCCTGCTTGAACCATTCCCGATGACACACACACACACACACACACACACTCACACATACACACACACACACACACACACACACACACACACAACCACACACGCTTTCTTTTCTGCCTTCCTTTTTGTTGTCTCTCACTGAGTTTAAGGTTCTTTGTATGAGAAGGGGTGGATGGTTATTTACTGGAGCAAGGGCAACTCAGCGGTGACTACACCACAGAAGAAAACGTCAGCTCCTCCCCCAGCACCCATTAACTGTCAAAAACTCCTCCGGGCGGGATGGGACCCAATGAGCCCCTGTTGAGGTTGCCGTCTCGTTCAGGTAACCACAGTTGTTGCCCCTGTGTCCGAGCCATGTCATGGTCAAAAGAAAGTTTCACCACAGCCATTCCCTTCCTCTAGCCCCTACTATCATTCACCCCCTCTACTGTTGTAGAAATAAACTGTTAGTTTTTTGGGTTTTGGTTTTTTTTTTAACAAGGTGGATGTTTTGCCTGCCGCTTACTTGTGTCTGTGCACCACTGCTCTATGCAGTGTGCTCCGAGGCCAGAAGAGGGCATCAGAACCCCTGCAGGCAGTGGTCTTAACCACTGATCTCTCCAGCCCCAACTCTGTTAATAGAAGAAAAAAAAAAATTGTAGACAGTGTCACAGGGTACCACTGGTTGGCCTTGGATTAGACCAGGTTGACTTTGAATTCGCAGAGATCTGCCTGCCTCTGCCTCATCAGTGCTGGAATTAAAGACATGCACCACCAAACCTGACCTTTGTTAAATTTTATTTTTAATCTTGAACACAAAAGAGATTTCATTACTCTGAGCTAAGGAGTCAGTTCTTCTACAGAGGAGATTAAACTGTACTGTTCTTTATAATAGGGTTATTGACTGTCATTAAGAAGAACAGTAAGTAAAATCTGGGGATGGTTGTGGTGCACACCTTTAATCCCAGCATTCGGGAGGCAGAGGCAGGCTGTGAGTTAAAGGCTAGCCTGCTCTACTGAACGAGTTCTAGGACAGCTAGGGTTACATAGAGAAATCCTGTCTTGAAATAATAATAATATTATTATTTAATAATAATAATTTAAAATAATAATAATAAAGTATTAGCTAGGTGCATTGGTCAGGGTTCTCTAAAGAAGCAAAACCTATTGATAGAATATCTTTGTTAGAGTGCCCTTACAGCCTGTGGTCTGAATAGTCCAACAGTGGCTTTCTCCTTACAGAAACACCAAGGATCCAGTAATTGTTCAGTCTCTGAGACTGGATGCCTCAGCATTCCTAATCTGGTGCTGGAGTCCCAGCAAAGTAGGTTATAACACCAGCAAAGAGGTGTCTCAGGAATAGATAGATGAACTTGCTAGTCAGAGTAAGGGCAAGCAGGCAAAAACTATAGTACCCCAGTTACACCACTAGTTCTCCAAAGTTAATTGGAAATATGTTTATACCAA